GTATAGTAGAACCTTATTCTAACACTTGCCCTGACAGTTCTTTGAAGGGGAAAGAAGGGGAGCAGGTGTAATAGCCTGCAGAAGCTGGTTTCCCGCGCTATGGCGCTTATTTCAAATCCGGGAGCGCTACCATATATATCCAAAAACTCGCTGGCTCCTGGCGAGTTTTTTGTGAATAACAGCCCAAATACTGCTTTGCTGGGCTGCTTACTAATGAAGAACTTGTTTGTACATATGTTCTCCATGACATGATGCAAAAACATTCAACATGTGGTATGTTCAAAACATATCATATGTTTTGAGATGCTTTACCATATTGGTATGATGTTTTAGCTTAGTCATCTTTTCAAAAAAGCGGTATATTACATATGCAGCCTAATTTCAAACTCAGTTGATGGAAGCACCATATACAGCATGCCGAGAGGTGCCGGAGAGGCTCTACAGGCCCTATGCGGTTGCTAGCTCAGTTACTAGTAGGTAATACATCGTACACCATAGTAGTTACTACCACATGATTAATCAAACCTGGTACAACGCCTCAGTCCAGATGTGCTTATGTAAGCACACCAAAACAAGTTAACCCAAAACACTAGGTGGTAGATGCAGTTTTTTTGCTTGCATAACCAGCCAAAAGCTAGGCAAACAAGAACCTGTGTTTAACCAGTTTTCATTCGAGAAAACTTGGAGACAAAACTGCCTTTTCTGCTAGTTTTGTCATGTTTCAGCCTCTTTTGGCCGGTTTTGCACCAATTTATGCACCAATTTACCCCAATATACAACCGGGGAACAATTAGTTCATGTTTTCCCAATTTTGGCCGGGTTTCTTCAAGAAAAAAACCGTGCTTACCACCCTGTGAAAGCGGAAGCGGCGGGGTTGTGACAGTTAGTTACAAGGACGCTTCCACAGAGCTGCTTCATGCTCTTCCTTCCGGTATTTTCAAGCTAGGGCAGGAAGTCAGGGTGATCAGGCACCTGAGAAGGGAAAGAGAGCATGAGACCATGTACCAATCGTGGCGCCAAGAGACCGTTTGCACATCTCCGTCCACCGAGCACCCTCATTATAGTGAGGACCACGCGGCACGCAGTCTTACACAAGCTTGAGATTGCACAATCTTGTAAGGAAGTTCACTGTTGTTTGCGTCTTCTCATGTGTAGACTATTTTCTGGACGCATTCCACCGGGCGCTTGAGAACGTAGGACATCTGACGTAGCGGGCACAGTTAACTTGAAGGCAAGGTATCCTCGATGCTCCCAATAATCTCCTCTCCGTCGCTTTCAGCCCCTGTCTGCTTCTTCACCTCTGTCGAGAGCTGCTCCTCGTTGCTGCTGGTTGATCTAACGTCGAGAGAGGGCGGGGTCGGAGCCTTGATGACGGGTGTTGGACCAGAGAAGTCTTTGCCGGTCATCCGAGACAACGTTTGCATGTCTGTAGGGAACCGTCAAATTTTGCAGTAATCTGGAAGAGCGCAGTACAGACCATATGGACGCCTGTTCTTCAGGCACCAGGTGATTCGGTTCGGGTTGCGCCTATCCTCTGCCCTAAATTTGTTCTTGCACGCTTTCCTGTCCCGTCCAGGAAGGACATAAGAGATAAGCTCATAATTTTCTCCAAATTGTTGCAGAGCCTAAAGAGCGTAGCGTCACCTTAAGTCGCGGGACTGAACTTGTGCACGTACATCGTAAAATAGCTCGGTCTCTTCTGCACTCCATCGGGAACCACGAAGCTTCCTACTGTACGTCGAAGAATTCACGAACTTGGTTGTATCGGACTCCTCAATGTGGGTGTAATTCGCAGTCTCGTCTTCTTCTTGTCGATCAACAAAAAGAGAAGTTTCGTCGATGATAGTCTCTCCGTTAGGACCAACCCTAACCTGGACGTTGTAGCGACTAGTGGACATGGCCTTAGTGTAGTCGTAGTCATCCCCTTTTTGGCCATCTGCTCCCCCGTTTTCCGCTTCGGCGGATGGCTCAGCAGCCGAAGAATCTGCTGCACTTGACGGGTCAATCTCGTCAGTATTTGTTCCAGTATTGCCGGTCGAAGGATCTGTCGCGGAACTGGCGTTCTCTTCTTCTTCCAAGTTCCGACCGTACTTCTTGGCCTCTGTTATCGCCCTCTGACGAGCCCGTTTCTCTCGATTGGCCTGTCGCCATGCTGCATGGTTGTCCATGATCTGCGCGGCCTTGCTACTAACCCTTCCGCGCCCGATGTCGTCGCACAGCTCAGCCATTGTGACAGCGATAGGGTCAATTTCTTCGCCAGGATCTGCATCGAGGTCATATGGAGGTAGGGAATGTGCGCGAGAACGACGCGTCCGCTTGTGGCGCGGCTGAGCGCCACCATCTTCGCCGTCTACAACGTCTGCACTCGTAGCTGCGCTGCGCTTGCGTCTAACCGGCTGAGATAGTGTATCAGCTTCAACTGCCGTAGACGTCCTCCTTCGGCGAGTGCGCTTAGGGTGCTCAACAGCGTTTTCGTCGCCTCCTTCGGCCTGCAGCCTCGCCGAATGCCTGCGCTGGGCAGAGGCTTTCGTAGTATGATCGCCGCGAAGAGCATCCCGTAGTTCATCGGTCGCGGCTTCGTCCAGATGCGCGAGTTGACTCTCCTCAGCATGACGCAGTGCAGTCACGACTGCCTGAAGTAGCGCGGGGTCGATCTGGGCATCACTGATGGCGGCCGAAGTGAAGTCTGTCGTAGGGTCCAACGAGAATGGTGGTGGGCCCTGGGAACGGCCGTCGGAGCTAGAAGCAATAGGAGGGGGAAGGGCCTGAGAGATGTCGGTAAGAGCAGTGGACGCGAGACCATCGTCATCACTAAAAGGCATGATAAAGGCATCGGGCACTTGGCGCGTGATTTCCTGGTATGCAGAGGGAACAGGAGGACGAGGAGGGAAGGCTTGGACAGCTGGGGGTCGAGCAGCATTCCGAGAGGGCATAGCTACGGCTGTCGCAATTTGGGGAGGTTGAGTTGGTTTAGGAGCAACGGGTGGGGAGACAGGGCGAGAGGCATGATTGTCTGAGGAAACCCACGTCAAAGACGGCGGTTTTTGAGGAATATTAGATGGTGGAGGCATAGACGTGCCCGGTGTGGCGTTTGCTGCAATTCCCTGAGCTGGGGGAGCAGACGCACGATGTTCGAGAACCTGTGGTGTTTGACGAGCTTCGCTCCCTACACGAGCTCGCGGTTTGGCGACCGGCCTAAAGACCGCGTTTCCCTTTTCTGTGACCCAAGAGAAGATTAAACACGCCCAAAGGATACATAAAGAAAGATGATACGCACGTACACGAGTCGACATCTTTGTGCTCAACTCTACCCGTCCAATTGGTGGTAGGCGTTTGGGGCAGGAAGTAGAGCGCCCATAATTAGTCCGCGGCGCAGAAGCCGATCAGCCACTCGCTCAAGCATGCGAGATGTCGACTCCCTCACTCCCCTTTATCTCAACCACCGCTGCTAAATGTCGCGCATCGTCGACCTTCCCGTTGGCGAACGTCCAGGATGGGAGCTGCAGGACAAGCTACTCAGCGTAGGCGGGCCCGGCTTACTTTCCGTCGCGGAGAGGTCCGGTTTCCACTGGTCAGACCACGCTTCACTTGCTCACATTTATCTTACCTAGCCTTGTTTTACTGCAATCGCTGAAGCAGTGTGAGTAGCCTCTTCTGTTTCTATATCTCTCACGCCGATAATCGGAAGGAACAGCTCGGGAGAGGTGGCTCACTTCTGCCTTTCCCCGGCTGCCGAAGGGTCGTGGGACGAAGCAAGTCGCGCAGACTGTCCCTCTGCACGAGTACAAGGCTCATGACAAGTTTGAACTCTCTGTCGGCCCAAACATATTCCCTGAAACTGCACTATTTGAGGTCGTTTATACTACCGATGCCCACATACCCTCTGCTAGGCCCTCGGGATTCGCCTCTCCTGAACTCATCAACATGGTTAGTGCCGCCGAAGCCAGCAATCCCGAGCTGAAGCTTCTGCTCGATCAGATCCGTACGAAGCCGGCATATGAAGCTGATTACAAGCGACTTGGGGAGTTGTTGCAGAGCATGTTTCCGGAGCATCTTGGTCCGAACACCACTTCTCAGTCTTCAGCTGCCCGCCCGCAGAAGTGGGACTTGGTAATAGAGTTCAGGGAGAAGCCAAAGGACCGTTTAATTTTCCCAAGGGGTGTCGTACAACACGGCAGGGCGTACGATACTGGGAAGGGGAAGAGGTTCGACGTAATGATATCCACGATGCTCCCGTACGCGCAGGAACAAATTGGCTTAGACCTGAAGACATTGGACCAGCAGGCTCTATCCAATACTCTTGCTGATGACGACACCAAGCCCAGCCCAGTTACGTTCCACTGGAAAGGAGTGACCCCACAGATATACGAGTTGCTTAATCAATGGTCATTGCGGCCGGACAACTGGGAGCGCTTCAAGGTAAGCGTAGAGTTGTGGCACCTGCATATTGACATAACCCGGTCATAGTCTTCCAATCGTATGTATTTGCCGCACCGGCTACCAGAGGGAGAGCTGCTGGAAATCATTCGAGCGGTGGGCTACTGGTTATATTTGTCAGGCGAATGCGACTAACAATTTGCAGGCGCTCGCTCCATCATGGACTCTGAAGTCCATTAAGCCAGCCAATGCAGACAGCGGCCGGACGAAGCGAAAGGGAAACCGACGTAAATCTGCACTTGAGAAAATGACACCGGCTACTGCTCTTGATCCCGCACCATTTACCTGGCCGCCTGTTCCCCCACCTTTGAACATTGTACAAGTAAAACCAGGACCACTGTCCACTCTTTCAGCTCAGACAGGTACGCTTCCACCTCCAGAGCCGCGACCACCTTCACCACTTCCGACATATAAACAACCGTATCAATCCTCCCAACAAGCACGAGAATCCTTGTCAGCTGAACGTCTGTGGCCGTCTCCAGAACACACCGCGAATACTCCACAACCTGTTCAGTCTTCCGCCATTGCGCAAATATCTCAGATTCCACTTATTGAACGATCACCACATCGACGTACGCAGTCTACATCTGTGCCTGGGACCGCGTCAACCAGCGTTCTAGAAGCGAGCGAGGCGCTCAATGCGTTGGGCTCTGCTTCTGATGCCTCGAATGCGCCGTCGCCTGTGGCCTCTCCCTCACCGTCGGCAGACGGCTCAGAACCGCCAAACAAGCGTAGGAGGATACCGCCGAAGCCGAGGTTCAGCCATCCGTTGCCTGCTTGCAAGACCTGTCAGCGCACTAATGTGCAGCTGCTACATGGCGGACGTAAGTTATGTCATGAAATTTGAGGCTTCGCTCTACTTAAGGCCGGTCGTAGAGTTCTGCCGTACGTGTATTGACATACACAGGCCGCCTCCACGCCCGCAGTACCAGCAATCTTCTTACTATCAACAACACGACCACTCAACACCAGAACACCCGATCACTTTTAATCACTGGGCGCCACCTCTGACGCCCCCGCCACCTCAAAGCTGATTCTTTGTGTCGTTGTATGTGTATATCATTGTGATGATTAGGGTTCTCCTAGGTATATCATGACGCCTATATGATACAGTATTTCAGTTATTCAAAGTATGAGTGTGCAAGGAGCGTGGGCAGGATCTGAAGAGTGAGAAGGGGAAGAAACTAGTTAAATATCTTGACGGCCCAGCCGAGCCACCATAAGACGACCCCGAACTCGGCGAACACAATGAGACATTCAATAATAACGGCAGTCCATTGGATAAAGAGCCCGACTACGAAGAAAGGAATGAAGAACCACCGCAATCCGGAGTGTGATATCCACGGAAGATTGTAGTTCAGTGTAGATGAGACAGCAGCACCGATCTGAAGAGCGGTGATAGCAATAGATATGAGGGAAAAGAGGAAGAGCCCGAACCAATGCTGGAATGAGCGTCTGGGTAACGAGGCAATGGGGTATCGCTTTTGCTCGCCCGTGAATTCATTGCGGTACCAGGGGATGATGAAGAAGTCCTGCACGTCCTCGCCGATGACTTTGCCGTAATTCCTCCATACTGGTGTCACGGTGTCAAGGAGTAGTGTCAGCGCATCGAGACCAATGTCCCAAAACTGCTGATACTTGTTCCGGTAGCTCTCTTCGAGCGCGACGATCTGCGTGATCTGGTGGATATGAGCCTCATCCTGAGTTTGTCATGACAGGCTGAACTTACCTCGGGATAGATCAATGACGTATGTGCAGTAACATCGTTGTACTCGCGCTTGACGGTCGAATGCGTCTCCTTCACCTTTGCGAGAGCGGCCATGACATTCTCAGCTTCTCGTGCTATCCTCTCCCTGTGGCGCTCCAGCTGGTCCAACGAAGATGACAGGCTGAAGATCGGGCCGTCGAACATGTACGCGGTATTCGAAGCGCTCTCTCCCTTGATGATAGCGCCGGCAAAGCTCCGCAGAGTGTCCCGCTGCTTGTTTACGAGGTCATCGATATCTTCGACGGCTCGCCAACCTTGCAGGCGCCTTGTCCCGCTCATTATCGAGGCAGGGTCGTGGCTCAATGCTTCCAAGACTTCCAGAGGGATCGACGTATGGGAAATGCCAAGCAAGAGCGAAAGCCGCGATAGCACGTTCTCATACTCGCGAATATTGCCGCCTACTCTCTGGAGTAGCTGGCGGGTGCGCTGGTTCTGGGCGAGAGTGTCTTCGAGAAGCCTGGCGACATATCAGTACATAAAGCAATGTGGCATAGCTTCGGGGCACTCACTGGGTCTTGTGTTCGTAATCTCGACGCTGCTGCTCTTCATCTGCCTGAATCTGTTGTTTCTCTTGCTCTCGTAAAAGAGCTCGATTAAGTGAGGGCAGAGACGTGCGACGTTGCCGCGGGCGAGGTGTCTTAGGCGCCCTTGGGTTAGCAGAAGGCGAAGGGTTCATCGGTGGAAGAGGAGAGTGACTAGACACAACAGTTGGATCGACGGGAAGGTAGGGGGTTGTTTGCCTCGCGGTTCTCGGTCCTTCGCCCCCGCTCGACAATGCTGGAGTGAGTGGCGGACGACCATCTGGCGATGTCGCACGTACGGGACCTGGTACGAGCTGAAGACTCATCGGACGCAAACGTGGCTTTCCCTTGCCCGGCGACGATTCGTCCTCCTGGCTTTGCTCTGAGATTGAGTTCCTGGCGGATGACAGCTCGCCTTCGCTCTGATTGTTAACTTTGCGGCGCATGCGACTGGCAAAGTCGCGAAAATGCATTCGGCTGCTGGAAGGCGACATACCGTACCCCAGGGATGTGGAGAAGACGCCATTATGTGAAGAGCTGCGAGTTGAGTCGGTGTGGTACGCCAAAGAATGTCGGCGGTAAGTGATAGGATCAATGCTACTACGTCGAGAGTCTGCGCCAGCTGACGACCTTCCAGAGTCAATTCGGGGTTCGAACGAGACGCCAGCATCTGAAGAATCGCGTCGCTTCCTAGAAAGAGACGGTTCCAATGGCGGTGGAGTCCAAGACCACGAGTCACTGGAAGGTGACTTGCTCGCCGCTTTACTCTCTGGAGAAGCACTCTGGTTAGGCATCGGGGACAAGTCGACAGCGGGAGTAATGTCGTTCACTATTTGGTCCTCAGGTATCGGTTGTAATGTTCGTCCTAGAGACTTGGCATATTCTTCGACTATCAGGGCAGACAAATGCCATGGGAAGCGTAGAGAGGACTTGGTGCCATGTTTATCGAGTAAATGTTTCAGCCAAGTGAGAGGTTCCGCATTGTCTAAGGAAGCTTGGAAAATAGGCTCCTGTTTGTCATACCATCGTGCGGCACACAGCAGATTCAACTGAGTGTTTGGTGGGTCGCCGAGAGCAGTATATCGCCTTCGCAGCTGCTCAGCAGTAATAGCTGCCTTACGAACTGTATGAGGTTTGGCCTTGGCCTTGATCTGCGCGAGCTTATCTGACGTGGCGAAAGAGGACCTGGTCAGCTTGGCAGCCTCGGTAATGAAGGGCGGTGTGCTGACCGATATAGAGAGATTCCTGTTTCTCGACAATTGTCTTGCTGGCACCTGCAGGATATCTGTCCCTATGTCTACGCCTCGTGATGGAGAGCGACCACCGTTTATCCCTTTCGTCCTCGGAATTAGAACCTGTCCAATCAAGAGTGGCACCTCCGTTCGAGGATGATGGTACAGGATGGGGAGGTATCAATCCCACAGATGGGCTGAAATCAATTTCTGATTCGACACTGCCGCCTTGCATTCCTTGGACTGCGGCGGCGGGCGGTATTGGTGGCATACGCGCATGAACGGGCGAAGAGCGGGTGGAGAACGAAGAGGAATTGGAGGCATCATCCGGTGTGAAAGGACGCGGCTTGGAAGTCGATATTGAGTGCAACGCCTTCATGCGAGCCTCCCGCCTTGCTTGTAGGCTCAACGCACGCTGAACATCCTCGAGAATCCTAGGATCTGTTGCTGCGTTGGTTCACGAAGTCCTGAGGAGCAAGGCGCACTCACCTTCGTGAGCTGATCTATTATTAGAATACGACTAGACAGATCAGAATGAGCACAACTCACAAAGGTCATACTCGTCTGAGAACGCAGCAGACGAATAGTCCGTGGAAGCGTCGGTGTTCACAGTGGAGGCAGCGTTTCCCGTCCTCATACTACTTCCCCGCCTGCTTCCGAAAGCCACACGCCTCTGGGCATCGTCAACTCCATATGCGTGGCGGAGTCCTGAGGGATACGGTGGCTGAGAGTCATCCACGGACCTCACCCTGCGTCGACCGTCACTGGAAGCTGCTCGCTCGTAGGTCGCGCGGGAATGAGTGAGACCCCCAGGAATTGGCCTCTTGGATAGTCCCTCAGAGGATCCCGCTACACGCAATATCCCACCATCTTGGTCGAAATCCGGGAAGGGGAAGCGGCCGTGTCGAGACGATGTTCCAGCATTCGGGGTTGTACCATTTCCGGTAGACGGCCCAGCCTCTGCCATCAACAGCCTGTTTACGTCGAAGAGGTCTTCGGTGCGTACTTCGCGATCAGGTATATGTCCCTTGATTAACACCCGTATAGAAGGTCACGGAGGGGAAGCCGCCTGGCGTGTGGCGCATGGCTCTCCCCTTGGAAGGCCACCGACGGTGGATGTCCGGAACTCTCATGCGTCATATGTGGTTACTTGGTGAGCAGCACAATCTATATACGGCTGGGTTTCCTTGCGTACTGATATGTACCAGGTATTCACTATCGGTCTTCACCACGGTGATGTTCATTCGTCTGCTACTTAAGCAGCGCAGGCAGCGTGGGGTCCGCCTTCCGCGGTGACATAAATTCTAGCACTCCGTTTTAAGTCTCTTTCAACAAAATCAGGCCTGCCACGCACAGTATACCGTCGGTCAGCTGCCGACCTCCGTCGAAGGGTCCGGAGGTCCATCTCTCACTTCGCGATCCTGTGGTCGCACCTATAATGTCGAGACACGGTGGCATGTATACGTATCGAAGGGTATTGTAAGCACTACACGTAGTAGCCAGACGATGGACTTCGAGGAGACTTTCGAGACCTGCTGAATGAATGCTGTGCTACGTAGTACCTTCCGCGGGATGCCTACTAAAGTGAAGCGCCTGCTGCGCCCGGTGCCGTCTGGTTGGCTGCAATGAGCCTGATCTTACTTGCTCACCAGCATCGGCTTCACCCACATTCCCATTGTGCGCTACGCGTACGCTTGCCGACTGTTGACCCTTGGTCAGCTATCGCTTTTGCACACCAGCCGCTTCGCCACCGGAATACCGCGCCATTGCGTCAATGTCCGCCCAGTACCATTTGCCTTCCTCAGGATGGTTGTCAGGTGTGAAGTAGTTGCGCTTGTGACCGGTACGGAGCATTCCAAGCACTTTAACTTCACCATCGTCTCGAAGGTAAGCCTTCTTTTCGGCTTGTGCCTTAGAGATAAAACCTCGGTTAACAATGACTGTAGTACCGTCGGTACGGACGAGAGGTTCGACCAAGTGATAGCCATTCTCTCCGTTGTGGACTCGCGGACCGAGGAGGATAGCATGGGCGTGGTCCCACATTCCCCTCACGAGAACTTTACGATAGGCAAAATCAGCGACTGCGACGGTGCTATATGCAGACTATGATCAGTGGCCTCCATGCATGCGGCGCTGAGGAACTCACTTGATTCGTCGGGGGAGCACCAAAGGTTCTTGGGACAGCTTCTCCTGTAGTTCGTCAATGAGATTTACCTTCCACTTGAGGCGTTCAACCTGCCAGGTGCCAAGCGCAAAGGTAAATATGGGCATGATTCCTAGGAGCACCATTGTCGGACTGAAGAGTGAATACTGTCTCGTCTTGTATTGGGGGGTCGCTGAGCTAGCGGTCGTGGATTCCATCCTTGCCGAACTGGAAGGAATAATTGGCGTTTTGTGGCGTGTCCATCCTCTGAAAGATTTCAGAGACGGACCCGAGAACAGCCCCTGCCGCAGGAAAGACGACATTGAGAGTCCCGGTGGCAGTTCGGTCGGAGGGCCAGAGGTCTCATATAGACGCGCTCGTGGTTACGCGCAGCCTCGCTTACACCTCTACCTCCACCACATACCCCGGCTCCCTTTCTGAGGTGCTCGACGAACAAAATGTCTCTGCAAGTCCGTCTTTAACAGCGAGCTCAATGCTGACAGGGGGCACAGGTTCGGCGGCTCGCGAGCGCGACAGACGACTGGCTACGACGTAGATGGGGACGAGATTCACTACCCTACTCGCCCAGTTGACAAGGACAAGGCAGAGGCAGAGCTCGTCGTGAATATCAAGAAGGCCACAAACCCTGACGAGACTGCTCCTAAGCAGAAGCACGTTCGAAGTAAGCTTTACGGCTGATATTGTCCCTCTGATATATTCAAGTTTCGTTCTCTAGAATGTATCGTGTATACCTGGGACTATCACTCCTCAATATCCTTTTGGACAGGTCTTCGCGTGCAGCCTATTCTTGCGGATGAAGTGCAGACCTTCAAAGCGTTGATCACTGTCCACAAGGTTATCCAAGAGGGACATCCTGTTGTGCGTCCATGATATCATACTTGAAGAGGCATATGTTCACAATCATTCTGTTGTAGACTATCAAAGAAGCCCATGGGCAGACAGGATGGCTAGAGACGTGCGCACGTACTGTTGGACATGACAGTGCTCGTGGTGCGTCCTTCAAATGTGGTGCGATCGCGAATTCTAATTGTCATGCCCAGGATATGGTCCCCTAATCCGAACTTACGTGCAATTCATCCTCGCGAAGCTAAGATTCCACCGCCTTCGACCCGAATTCAACGGACTCTTCGAATATGAGGAATATGTTACGCTGAAAGGAATCGACGATCCGAATGAAGGGTTGGTAAACCTCTGTAGTTGCTGGTGACAATCACTCATTCTCTTTGAAGCTACGAGACCATTTCGGATCTCATGAATCTCCAGGACCAGATCGACTCCTTCCAAAAGATGGTCTTTGCTCATTTCCGCCATACTGCGAATAACGAGTGTCGGATATCTTCTCTCGTCCCTCTGGTGAAGGAGAGTTGGGGTATTTACCGCTTCATCACGAGCATGCTTCGTGCCATGTACCGGAGTACGCGTCCTCTTCGAATTGCGCTTTAATGTGACATTCACTAACCATTTCATGATCAGGGACCAACGACGCGGACGCGCTGGAGCCTCTCCGACAGCGTTACTGCGCTCAGCATTATGCGCTGCGCAAGTTCTACTATGAGTGCTCTAACCTCAAGTACCTCACAAGTCTTATCAATGTCCCCAAGCTTGGTCAGGTAAGCTAATGCGATCCTTCTCCTTTGAGATTTGATCATTAATCATGCTTGTAGGACCCGCCAAATCTTACCGATAGTGGCCCGGCTCCTGACCTTCCTGCTCGTCCAACAACAACTGCGCCGCCTGCTGCCACGCCGCCACCCGCCACCCCTGCGCCAGACATCGCTGAGCAAGCTCGAATGCTCAAGGAGTATGAGGATCAGCAGAAGGCAATACTTGCTGCTCGCGCAGATGAGGAGCGAAGACGACGAGAGCAAGAGGAGCAACAGCGTCTCGAGTTTGAGCGCAGACAAGCGGAACAGGCAGAGCGTGAGCGTCTTGCTCAGGAACAACTCATGCAGCAGCAGCTCCAGCAGCAGGCGCAGTACAATAACTATGCTGCTCAGCAAGCCGCTCAACAAGCTATGGACCTCGAGCGAGAATTGCTCGCTATGCGCGGCCAGTACGAGCGAGACCAGCTGATGCTCGAGCAATATGATCGCGTACGTTCATGGTTCATACCAGCTTCGCATGCTGTGCTCATCTTTCTGTGCAGAGGGTCAAGGCGCTCGAGAGTGAACTCGGCAGTGTCACTTCGAACATCAACTCGCAGCTGATGTCCAAGGACGATCTTATCAAGCAGCTGCAGGACCAGGTCACTCTCTGGCGGAACAAATACGAAGCCCTTGCGAAGTTGTACAGTCAGCTGCGTACCGAACACTTGGACATGTTGGCCAAGTTCAAGCAGATGCAGCTAAAGGCCAACTCGGCCCAAGAGGCCATCGACAAGATGGAACGTATGGAACGTGATCTCAAGGCGAAGAACCTTGAGCTCGCTGACATGCTGAGGGAACGCGACCGTGCCCGGTTCGACCTTGACCGGCAGAAGGCGAGCCACAAGGATGAGATCGACCGCCTCAGGCGTGACCTCAGGTTTGCGAACGAAAGAGCAGAGGATGCTTCTCGATCGAAGAGCTCGGAGGTGTCCGGTGTATTGCAGAAGTACAACCGTCAACTCGCCGAGCTTGAGGATTCGCTTAGGGTGGGCTTTTATCATCATTCTTTTTGAAGACGGAACCTTACTCGTCTACAGGCGAAGCAAATACAGATCGACGAGCTGCTTTCCAGGTTGGATAACACCCAAGCGGAAATTGACCGCGTCCGTGATGAAAAGGATGCTGAGATCGCCGTTCTTCAGGAGGGCATGGACCAGACCCTTCAACACTTGTCTGATGCCCAGCAGGTATGTCGCGCTTACGTTTTGTGATGGTTAGGCACTAATATTATCCTTTAGAGCCAAGGTATTGTGGAGGAGAGCACCAACGCTCAAATTGACACCCTTATTCTCGATAATCGCAAGAAGCTCAACGCTATCATCGGTCAGTATCTTTCGTAGGCATCTGGAGGACATCGTCTTATCCGCAGAGTACCTTAGATTCCATCTTACAAGCGTGCGTACAGAAGGTTGACGAGGCAATCTATGAGCTGGAGTCTCCAGCACAGACCGGCAACCTCAACTCCACGCCTGAGTACACTCTGTCGATGATCGAGAAGGCGGTCAACAATGCTACTGACTTCGCTACCATCTTCAACCTTTACCTTGGCGGCGAGGTCGGTGGTGACCATGTCGACGTAATCAAGGGCGCGAACGAATTAGCGCAATCGCTGTCGGACGTCCTCATCAACGCCAAGGGCGTTACTCGCCTTCTGGGTGACGAGCAAGTCGAGAAGGTCATTGCTGTTGCGAAGGCAGCCGGTGATGTCGGCCTTCGTGGCTTCCTGAACATCCAGTCGTACAAGCTCGACCTGATCCCCCAATCCACTCAGCGCAAGGAAGTCGCCATGCGCAATAATGTTGAACTTCGATCAGCACTCAGCAGGCTCTCCGAGACCCTCGACAAACTCGCACCCAAGGGTGGCAAAACGGGTGCGCTTGCGAAGGCCAATGGCGATCTCGGTGACCTTGTCGAACAAGAGATGTTGGGTACCGCGAAGGCGATTGAGCAGGCCACCGAGCGCCTGAAGCAGCTCATGGCGCGTCCTCGCGACTCGTCTCGCTTCAGTGCTGTCGACCTGCAGGTCCACGACTCCATACTTGCCGCGGCGCTTGCCATCACAAACGCGATCGCCCGTCTCATCCAGGCCGCGACAGAGTCGCAGCAGGAGATCGTCGCGCAGGGCAAGGGCTCGAGCACGAGCCAGCAATTCTACAAGAAGAATAATCGCTGGACCGAAGGCCTCATCTCCGCCGCCCGCTCCGTCGCGTTCGCGACGAATCTGCTCATTGAGAGCGCTGACGGCGTCATCTCTGGCACGCACACGATGGAGCAGCTCATTGTCGCGTCAAACGAGGTCGCGGCGGCGACCGCGCAGCTCGTCGCCGCGTCGCGCGTCAAGGCAAACCTCATGTCCAAGACGCAGGAACGCCTCGAGCTCGCGGCGAAAGCGGTCACCGAGGCCTGCAAGGCGCTCGTCAAGCAGGTCAAGGCGATCTCGGCGCGCGAGGCGCTCGAGGAGGACGTTGACTACAAGAACATGGCCACTCTCGAGTTCAAGAAACGGGAGATGGAGCAGCAAGTCGATATCCTCCGGCTCGAGAAGGACCTCGGTGCCGCCCGGCACAGGCTGGGTGCGATGCGGCGCGCTGGGTATCATACAGAGGAGACGGACTGAGAGCAGGCACGGCCATAATATTAGCGACGGATCTCTCAATACCTTGTAATCATATCTGCTCGCGACTTTGTTCAGTACTCAGTTTTTACTACATGTATCGCTGTCGTATAGCATTGGAAATATGAAAACAGACTTTTCTCACAAACATTTACTGAGCTTCGATATGTACCAATGTATCTACAGGATCAGGGGTGTGGTGATGTGTGTGCGGGCCGAAACAGATGATAGCGTGTGAAGAGGGTGAATGCTCGAAGCAAGCGGCGGACGAGACACCAGACGAGATGGAATTTAATTAATAACTATAGAGAGTTATATAAAAGCAGTATGGCTCGGAGGTGCCAGAAGGGAAATATGGTATCACGAGAAAGCAGAAAAGAATGTGCATGAATAGCGAAATGCGAAACGATTGGAATAAATATGACAAAGCTCTTAAAAAGCACGGAAGGGATCCTGGAAAAGTCCCCGGTGGGATTGGTAGGACTCGCCCTCGAAGCTCCGGATGGTGTCGAACGAGCCTCTGTCGAGGTCCAAGAAGCTGGACTCCATTTCCTCCGGCTCGGAGGCGAACATCCGACGCTCTCCGATCTCGGCCAGCGGCCCGCGCGCAAAGTCGATGTCTGCGTCGTCCTCGACCTCGTCGTCGTCGATCTCGAGGAAGGACGGCTTCTTCATGACAGACCGCCGGCTCAGGGCCCTCTGGTCAAACGCGCTCGGCGGACGGGAATGGGACGCACTCGGCGAGGGCTCTGGCTCGTCGCTCTCGGAGATGGTCGTCGCCCGCGAGTTCTTCCGGCGCGGCGCCGGCGAGAGCGGCTTGAGGGGCACGACGCTGATGCGTTGCGATTTTCGGGAGAGCTCGCTGTCTTCGCGCGCGTGGCCTCGAGACTGTCGCGGGCGCGGTGGTGGCGGCAGTCCAGTCGCGACGTGGAGCGGTGACGGCGGCTGCTTCTGGGCGGAGAGTGTCGTTGGCGGGGACATAAGACTCGCCTGAGCAGTGGACGGCCGGCCGTTCACCGACGGGGACGCGAGGCGCACGAACATGGAGTTTCCAGTCTGCGCAGGACTGGCATGCTCCGTGGTCGAGGGTCTTCGCGGAGACGCCCCGGGGGCACGGACGGGGCCTAACCTTCCGAATACGACGACGTCATCAGCGCGGTCTTCCTCGCCAAACGCCTGCGTCCGACTTCGACCCGATATGCTCGAGAGAAGCGAGCTTGTCCTCGACCGGGTAGGCGACTGTTGGTTCACATACGCGAGCCCAAAGTCGCCGGGTTCGAGGTCATACTTACTCTGCCGGCGCTCGGGTTCGCGGTCCTTCGCCTGGTCAGCGTTGAACTGCTCCTCGAGCCTCAGCATGTCCGTTGGCGACATGATGCGCTGCGGCACGTAGTCGGTCGTCGACTGTCGCTTCGCCGTGGCCGCCTGCTGCGTTTGCGTTTCCAGCATTTCCTGCCACATTGGCGCAATGCACGCGTTTTCAGTCACGAGAGCGAGCTGGTTACCCATGTTCGTGAAGGACATCATGATAGGCGGGTGTCGCTCCCTCTGGGCTGGCGCCGGATCGCGCGCGGGAGAGTCGTCAAGGCTGAAACTGCTTATTGAACGGAGCTCGTCGTCCGCCGTCAGCGGTGGACTTGACGATCCCTTGGACGCGCTTCCCCTCCGCCGACTGGAACCCGAGAACAGGCGCCTACGCGGCTGTGGGCTGCCAGGCAACGAAGGCGAGCGCGGGGTCTGCTGTATTTCGGGAGATGCGGTCGCATTATTCGAGGTACAATACCGAAGACCAGGCAATGGCAGCCTGGGGAACGAACGCTGTTTCTTCGGGCCCTTCTTACTGAAAGCGGAACTCGACAACGACGCGTGGTCCTCGAAGCTGGACGTTTGCGCAGAGTTGACACTCGCCTCGGACGCTCTCCTTTCCATAATGAACTGTGCCGAGAAGCCAGAGATCCTCTGTTCTGCGGGAAACGTCAGGCCAGATTCGGGGCTGCTCGGGTTGCGTCGATCACCTGAATACTCCAACGCTTCCGGTGGGGGTGGGGGACTGTACACTGCAGGGTCGGGAGGTGCGTCCGTCATGAAGTGGTGGGCCTCTTCTGCGGTAGCAAAGTCGTCCAGAGACGCAAAGCTGGAACTTGCGGACGGTGGGTCTGGGAACACAAGTGACTCGACCGAATCCACATCGTCCGAAAGCGGCAGAGGAGAAAGTGGTGGAGGTGGCAAATTGGCCGCCGGTGGCTGAATGGTCAAGGGCGGCAGGTTGACGCGTGACGACGACGCCTTCCTCACCAGGACAAGTGGCCTTGTCGTTGGCAACGGTTGAGCCGTGACGCTCCCGGTAGATACCGAGGATCGCGCGCTGAACATGACTGGAGATGGCGCAGATGTCGACGGCGACTGACTGCGCTCCGAGAACGGTTGTGAGGCCTGGCGCCGGAGTCGCGACTGGGCCGCAAGATCTGACTCCAAAGGGAAAACGGCGGCAACAGCTGGACGACGCGCTTTTTCAACAGCCACCGTCATCCCCCGTGGACGGACGATCTCTCGGCTGAGCGGTTCGGGCGCTTTGAACGCTGTAGCTGCTGAGGCGAAGCGCTGCCTCGGGGGCATGGTTGACCCAGATGATAGCGAGCCAGATTGGAAGCGTTTCGAGATCCCCTGGCCGATATCAAACCCTGTGGGGTCGCCGGACGGGCCGTCTGTCACAATGAAGGTTTCTCGTCTGTTACGTTTTTCACCCTGATTTGTGTCCGGCGGCCGCCTGCATTCTCCGAGTTAAAAACAGAACAAGCGCATGTTCTTAGCGAACTGCTTACCTCGGCACGTCTGCACTCGCCGAACTTAAAGGCGAACATGGATCGTGTGGACTAGAATGTGAGTTGGACGAGGACGAGCCATACGACAGACGGCTGCTGTGGACCGTGTCAAAGCGCTTGACGCGTGCAACCTGGTAGGGGTCAAGCATTGAAGAATCCGAGTATACAGACAGCCTGTTCGGATCTTGGGTGAAGCGGGGCACAATGACAGATCCTGCTGCGAATGGGTCAGGGTCTGAGAGCGTGAACACCGAATTCTGGTACGACCGGCGGTCGGGACGGTCGGAGGGCGTGCGAGGCTCCGAGATAGTATGTGGGTCGGAACGGTCATCGAATTCGTAAGAGCGGACTGTGGAAGAAACAGACTTTGAAGGTGGACGGTTGGAAAAGAACGGCTGGGGCGAGTACGCGGGCGAGATCGCTGCTGTGTTCGGGGCAGAACGACTGTAGCTCGACGTGGGGCTCACAGGGGAGAGCATGGACGGTGGAGGGTCCTGTATCGTGAGTGTCGGTTTTTTCGACCGTTTCCCAAAAGCATGGCCGACAATATTGTTCAGCTTGGAGGTCGTCATGCTGTCCTTGGACTTGGAATGTTTGATGGTGTGCAAGGGCTTCAAATCCGAGAGTCCAGAAGAGTTTAAACGCGTCGAGGGAACATCTCGGGAAGACTTGGACCGAGACCACCATGACTTGCTCTGCGAAGAGCCTGAGAGGGTAGACATGACGGAAATGAGGGAAAGAGCGTCTTGAGGGAAGGAGAGAAACTAGCAACACGAGCTCTGATATTAGGCCCAGATCAGTGATGGAAAGTATTTGCAAGCAGATGGTGTGCCGTCTGCGTGAGCTGAAACGTGCGCAGCTGGGCGAGACAGGACGCGTCTGGAGGTCAGAACATGGGCAGCAGAGGCTGGTGTGGCGGTCGGAGGCGAAGGAGGAAGTGGCGATGAGCAAGGGCTCCTTGGCCGTTCGCGAACGGCGTGAGTGTCTGCGCCAACTTGTCCGGGCAGTCGGTCCAATCGCGAACGCCGTGGCAACCATTCCTCGAGCGTCTGCTCCTGCTGATGCAGAATGTTCTCAACAGTCCCACAGAGTCGCGTATGGCGGCTGTCGAATCACACTGCTTGCCTACCATGTTCCAGAGCACGACGACTACACCGGCCAATTCTCAGTTCGTGATTTACCGCTGCTGCCTCCGCTGCTCGACCCGCCCATATCTCTTCCCCTTGAAATTTGTGCCGGGACGCCGAGAAGATCGACACAGTGATCTGATCGTGTCCGGCATTTGCCGCTGACAAGGTACCGAGCGCCAGTTTTGCTCCCCACTCCCCACCTGTGTCGTCACCGTCGCCTCATGTCCGTCTTTCATCAACTTTCTCCTCCGACTGCGTGCAAACTTCGTCGTGGCACGCGTACCAAGCTGTGTACGGCTGCCACCCAGCCTTGGCCATCACGCTTCCGACGTGCTGCGCGGTCTCAGCTCCTCTCTCTGCTTCTTCATCATTGCGATCAGTCAGGCCAGGTAACCTCCCCGAGAGCATTCTACCGCTGGTTCTGATTAACGTGGGCAGGCCCGCACCAGGCCTTCTCCCTTCCAACACATGGTACCTACAAACTGTTCAAATAACCCATCGCCTGCTGACAGTCGGATCTGCACTTCTCCCGTGCTTCCAGAGCCCGGTTTCCTGGTTACTTTCAAACTCGCCCGGGCTAGGTACAGTATACTACGACACGAGGCTACCGTTGTCCGAAACCATTATTTTCAAAATAAAATAAAATAAACGCTCCACGTAGCTTTAACTCACCCGCTTCGAGAGCGGAATGCCGGAGACCTGCCTACCCTTGAGCCTTCAGCAAAGCAAAAGTGCTAGCATGATCATCGCTGCCCTCTCGGCAGTGACGATCCTGCTACCGCTCCTTGCTACTGATCATCCGAACACGCACTGACTCACAATAGCTTGGCAGCGCCTTGCCGGAGAAAGGGGAAACTCGATAGTCCAGTGCGAGGACCTGACAGAGGTGTGTTGCCTTCACACGCGTTTTATATCTGCCTGCTCCCCTGGCCTCTCCGTTTTTTTTTGCAGCCAGGGACACGAAGCCTATGCTATCGCCCGCCGAATCCGCTCGGAGTCCTCGGAAAATGAAGCACAGGCGCACGGAAGGCGCATGTCGCTGTGAAAGGCCACTGCCTTTCTTACCACATCCCGCCGCAACGGCCGACTCGGTTACGCACTCGACTGGGTGCATGACTATCATGATCGGCTATGCATAGATTCACGAACGTTGTTTCATCGAGAGTACAAGGACTTTGCCAATTCAAAACGTTCAAGAACGCACGGAGAGGACCGAAAACCGAGGAGATTACATGTAGAAGCGCTATGAACGACCTGATAAGTTTATCCCTGACCGGAAAACCTGTCAGTGAACACACAGCAAGGCCCAGGATGCTTATATCTCAAATGTGAAGCATTGCTGCCGACCATAATTTCAAAATATGCATTGACATATCCAATGTTATGAGTACTCTATACTAGATTCAACAACCATGTGAAAGAGAATAAGTTAGCATTTAATATCAGCCAACGATTGCACGAGTAGTGAGAAGTCGGTCATCAACCCAGTTCTGCCCACATGTCTTCCGTATCTCTTTCTTGAGCCGCCTGAGCAGCTCGTGGCATAGGTGTTGTATGCGCCGGCCGCGCTTCACCGTCAGCGTCGAACACGACATCGCTTCGGATAAGCGGACGGCCTAGCTCGTCCGAATCCTCTTCACCTTCCATATCAATGTCAAGATTCAATGGACGTCGGCGTGCTGAGGACAGGTCGATAGGCTTGGGTCTCGAGAATATTGATTGGCCAGACCTGATGGCGGGTTCACTTCAGTCCTACATCCGCAATGATGGAGCCAGCGTGACTTACTGTCGCATAACCGACGCTAGCCTTCCGAACTGCAACACATTACGTGCGACCAGCAGTAAAGTGTCCAGTAGCTCTTCCTCCTTAGATGTGTTGTCGCAGCCCGCGAAGAATATCACAGCAAGCGTGATGACACAGAATGCGGTGAGAATGAGGTCCATTACGTTGAAGGGGCTTTTCCAGAACCGCTGTGTAGCGAAAGATGATCAGCTTTCTCACGGGCTTAGCACCTAAAGGCAGAACCACGCACCCGACCAAAGGCAATAAAGCGTATCGTGACCTCAAGGATCATAGCGCCGTTGATAATGAGTTCGAGGATGTAGAACGGAAGCGTCGGGCAGCCGTTCACGAGGCTGAGCACGACGGTCGTCACCGAGAGCGCGGCCATGACCAGGTAGAGCACGATGTAGCTGCGCGAGTGCACGAAGCGATTCGCGATCCCCTTCGTAATCTCGTCGCGCGACATGGAGTATATCGAGCGCGTGGGCCTGCATGGAGAGCACGGTTAACGTCTGCCTCGTTTCTGAGCGGCGCGGGGGCAGCAGCGGAGGGAACGGGTGCGTACGCTGGGTAGACCGGTGGGGCATCGTTTTCGTAGAGAGGCTCGCCCTCGCCCGCCTCGAGGTCGCCTGTCCGCACGTCCGTCGTCGCCGTCGACATCGGTGTCTGCGTTAGCGGTCCTCGCCGCAGAATCATGCCCGTCCGTGACGCAGCAGCAAAGCAGCGCCGTGACGTTGCAAACACACGCAAACAACCGAGCTGCCCCCAGTTTAGCGCCTAACCGATCCCCATCACTGGTTGTTCTCTTTCAGCGACTATCACTTCGCAATCGCACACTCTAGTCTCTCGTCTTTGACGTTCTCACTACCACACTCGCTTTCCATCGTATACGACAGACTCTGGCAACATGGGTGGCGGCGACTTGAACATGAAAAAGTCGTGGCACCCGCTTCTGTTGAAGAACCAGGAGCGGGTCTGGCTTGAGGAAAAGAAGGCTGTAAGCACTGCATCATCTCCTACATGCCGGCGAGATACTAAATGTGTTGCCTACAGTTGGAGGAGAAGAAGAAACTGGATCAGCTGAGGAAGGAGAAGGAAGAGGAGAGACAGCTGCAGGAGTTGCAAAGGTTGCAGGAGGAACAGACGGGGAACAAAAGGCAGGAGAAACTAGAGTGGATGTATGCGACGCCGGCAACGGGTAGTGGAGCAAACGCTAATGAGCTGGAGGACTACTTGTTGGGTAAAAAGCGGGTGGACAAGATCTTGACTGCGGACGAAAATGAGAAGGTGCGTCTTGCTGGCTCATTGTCGTTGGTGCGTCCCTTACTGACGTTTCGACTAGCTCGGTGCTGCGCATAGGAACTTCATCGCTACCCAGTATGCTAACACTGCTCGCGATGTGGCTGCCAAGATTCGCGAGGACCCCCTCCTTGCAATCAAACAACAGGAGCAAGCGGCATATCAGGCCCTCATGTCGAATCCTCTCAGGCTGCGCCAGATGCAGGAGAAGGCAGGTATTAAGCCGAAGAAAGACAAGAAGGATAACAAAGAGAAGAAGAAGCATAAGAAGGACAAGCACCGCGACCGCTCAGCTTCACCTCGCTCCGATCGCTACCGTTCTGCTTCACCAGATCGCTACCACCGTTTGAGACGCTCTCGTAGCCCCCGCGGACGTGACTCTCGCTCCCGCTCCCCTCGACGCCGTTATGAGTCTGATCGCTACGAACGTGGTTCACGACGGGATCGCTCGTACAGTCGATCGCCGGGGCCGTCACGACGGAGGGACCGTAGCCTCAGTCCAAGAGAGAAATCACGAGGTCGTCAAGAGAACGAACGGATGCCTACCTGGCCGAGGTCTGACGACTCCGACGACAACGCCCGCTACGGCCGCCGCCAGAGCCAGAATAGGTCAGCAGACCCCAAAGATCACTACGAC